TTATTTATAAAGGAACATGAATTTGTCACACTGCAAGATGATTTAAAATGAACTTAAGGAAAAGAGATTATTAAAATTGTACAAAAAGGCCAGGCAGAGTTACGCTTTAATTGAAAATGTAATATTTTAATTTAATTTAAACTAGGTTTTATCCCCCCCCCCCCCCACACACACACCACACCGCACCACACCACAGGTATTGTCTGGTGGTTCTGTACGGTGCAGTAAAATGTCTCTCTTTTTTTTTTATAGTCAGTCATGTGTTCATTTCTGCATAAAACATGCAGTATACATTTTTCTTGATTTGGAAAAATAAATGATAAATTTTTTACTTTTATATACCTACACTACAGTTCAAAAGTTTGGGGTCAGTAATTTTTTTTAAATGTTTTTGAAAGTCTCTTACGATCACCAAGGCTGTATTTACTTGCTCAAAAATACAGTAAAAAAAATACAGCTGAATTTTCAGTCTTTAGTGTCACATGATCCTTCAGAAATAATTCTAACATGCTTATTTGCTACTCAAGAAACATTAATTATTATGATGTTGAAAACATTTGTTATTCAATATTCTTGTGAGAAATGTTAATATATTTTTTATTTAAGATTATTTGAATACAAAACCCAAAAGAGCAGCATTTATTTATTTGCTGCCACATTTAATCAATTTAAATTGTCCTTGCCAGATTAAATGATTAATTTCTTTTTTTTTTTTATTCTTACAGTAGTGAGGTTATATAAAAGTATATAATTTATCATATATTTTTCCATATCCAGACCAAAGTACACTACAATTCATGCAGAAATGATCAAATGATTGAAAAAAAGGCATCTTACTGCAGTGTATACCCACTGTATACTAAATTAAAAAACAACTTCTGCAATAATTAATAATAATAAAGCAGTACTGTTTCCAGGGAGACTAACATGAGGGTTTGAATTCTCGTCGTGCACGTTGGCGTGATACTGATTGTAGCCTTCCTGCAGGACTCCCTGGTGCAGCCGCATGCTATTGCCACGCCGGGAAAGGTACGGGCTGTACTGAGCCGTCTGATCACCCCAAAGCATGCTGGGTACAGCTTTGGCACTGTTGGGTAACAAATAGGTTTGTGAGGTACTGGGCACCGGGAGCGTTTCCCTGCTGGTGGAGGCACTCTGGTCTTCCGTCCCACGTGATGAACTCAGGACTTTGGTCAACATGGACATGAGACGAAACTCATGATCTCTCTCCTGCTTTGCTCGTCTCTCCTCCTGCTGCTCCCTCCGCTCCTCGGCCTGTGCCTCCTGCTGCATCCGGACCTCCTCCAGAGCCAGGAAACGCTCTTCTGCTGTCTGCTGCCAGCTTAGATATCCAGCCAAAGCATTCGATAACACCCCATCGCCCCCACGTCCCACTCGCCGACGCTTCCTCTGATGGAACGATCCGGAACCCCCTACTTGGTCGCCATGGCTACCTCCGTCTCTCATCACAATGGGAGCTGTTGCCGGGGATACACCCGCACCGGAGGAGCCGGTCATGTTCTGGTCACTGCAATCTGTGGTGTGATATCATCAGATATTAAACATTCAATCAGTCAATCAGAGATAAAAGACCACATAAAAACTTAATAAAAAATTAACTAAACAATTATCTCAACATTTTATTAAAGCGACAGTTGGTGTGATAACATGCCAGATCACAGAACATCTGCGGTGCTGAAAGTAAGGCACTGGATGGAAAATCACTGCCAACAGCAGAGACACAACAAATGGTTTGGCATAAATACTGCAATAATGTCTGTGCACTGTTAAACCACACAGACCTTCTAAATAAACATGGAAAATATCAGTTAGAACTGGTACGACAGGCTCATAGTTCATCGTTATCTTGATTATACATCCATGCAATGCTATTTTTGCACTGATGCTATGAAAATATTATAAAGAGTTCCTGAAGGTTAACTGATAGAGCAAGGTCACGGGTTTCATGCACATACTAATGAAATGCACAAAAAATAAATAATAAACATGTCGGCCAAATGCATAATTGTATAAAATATACGCTAGCGTTAAAAAATTTGTGGTCAGTAGGATAATATTTTATTTTTTAAAGAAACTGATACTTTTATTCAGCATGGATGCATTAAACCGATCAATAGTGAAAGTAAAAATATTCATAATGTTGCAAAAGTCTTCTAATTCAAAAAATGCTGTACTTTTGAATTTGGTAATATTCTGAACAAAATGTATCATAGTTTTCCCACAAAATTAAGCAGATGTTTTAAACATTGATAATAATAAAAATTGTTTCTTGAGCATCAAATCAGCATATTAGAATGAATTCTGACGGATCACGTGACACTGAAGACTGGAGTAATTATGCTGAAAATGTCAGCTTTGCATAACAGGATTAAATTACACTTTTAATATCCATTAAAATAAAAACAGTTACTGGTTTTACTGTATTTTTGATCAAATAAAAGCATCCTTTGGTAGGAAAAAAAAGTCTTTCATCAACCCTAAACTTTTGAATAATGGTGTACTGTGTCAAGCAGATGGCGTTTTGTTACTGTTTCTCTGTAGTTACTGAAGTCAAGGCAGATGTTTTTGTATTATTTAAACATGAACATTTGTTTCTGCTTATAAATCCATACCAACAGACTGTTCAGGATACCTGATGGGGAACAGATGACATGCGTGTTTCCCTGCTCTCCGTCCATCTCAGTGTTCTCCTCTGTGTTTGGACCCGCATGTTTGTGCTCAGCAGCGCCTGCTTCATCATCCTCATCAACAGGTCCGAACTCATAGAGCATCTCAGGCGGGCCCACCGCTTCATCATCCGAGCTCATCACCTCCGTCTTGATCTCCAGAATCTCACCTGCTCTGGGCGGCTGATCCGGCGCCTCTGACCCCTGCATTCCGGTTACCTGGTTCGTCACCGTGCCGCCCCATAAAGGCAAAGTCGAACCGGAGGTAGCGGCGGATCGGTTACTCTGCGCCCTTTCCATCAGCTCGTAATACCTCGCGGATCTTAAAGTCTTCTGCTTGTACTCCAGCTTCAACTTCTTGATCTTCTCCCTGCATTGATCCCCGGTCCGATTGATGCCCTTCTGCCGCAGAGTGCTGGCGATTCGGTTGAACACATGCTGGTTTCGGAGGCAGGTCACTAGCTCGGTTTGGACTGGCACGTCTGACCAGATCTGCAGCAGCTCCAGCACCTCTGGCTCGGACCAGTTGCTGCCGCGTTCGTACTTTTTACCGTAGACGTGAATCAAATGCATTGCAGCACTACAACTAAAGCTACAGTGTTATGTTTATAGACTGCTGCAAGTATGTTCACGCATTGGTATGGTGCCGCGTTTATAGGACTACAAGCTAATGCATTAAAGTAGTAAAACTCCAACGTGTGAGTTACTGTAATCAATCATCTAAAACGAGCGCTGGTACTTTACCCCGAACGGAACCAGATCCCTTTACTTTCTAATAACAGTCTCGATCATGCATTTTCTGCCCGACGCTTTTGTTCTTTATTCAAACAAGTCCTGAAACATCCGGGTTCACGGCACATGCGTGCTGCCCTTATTCCGGGATAAATTTGGACCGTGACAACAAAGAACGGCGCTGCGCATGCGCTGAACGAGGAACGTTGAAGCAAGAGACCCATTTGTTGCATAGGCCCGCCATCTAGCGTTTACACTAGTATTTTTGAAACATTGCATGATATTTATTTACTTATTTACTTTTATTTATTATTTGTGAATGTTATTAGATAAGAATCAAATTTA